GGTGCTATTACTAATAATTTGACAGATGAAGCACAGAGAGGATGAGAACTTGCCTAAGTTCACACAGTTGGCAAGTGAGGAAGTCAGTTTTAGAGAGGCAGTTATTTGAGTTAGGCCATACTCCTCAAATTTTTTGTGAGATGAGATGGAACCTTATTCCACAAATAAAGTAAATCATAAAGGTAAATCCCTAGATGAGAATTAAGGGTAACAACACACTCAAGGAAAGAGATGCAGCCTGAACAGAAAGTTCAAGAATGGGGAATTCCCTGGTGGTGCAGTGGTTAAGAATCCGCCTGCCAATGCAGGGGACACAGGTTCAAGCCCTGGTCCAGGAAGATCCCACATGCCGTGGAGCAACTAAGCTCATGCGCCACAACTACTGAGCCCACGTGCCACAACTACTGAAGCTCATGTGCCTAGAGCCCGTGCTCAGCAACAAGAGAAGCCACCACAATGAGAAGCCCGTGCACTGCAGCGAAGAGTAGCCCCTGCTCGACACAACTAGAGAAAGCTGTGCACAGCAACGAAGACCCAACACAGTGAAAAATAAAAATAAAAAAATAAATTTATAAAAAAAGAATGGCTGAGGGAAAGGCAAATGGCTCAGATTGACTGAATGAAGGGGTTAATGCAAAGTACTTACAGGAGGTATCATTAGAAACGGAAGTTAGGACGTATGATGAAGGATCTTCAAGAAAGAACTGATGAGGACTTCCCTGGTGGTCCAGTGGGTAAGACTCTGTGCTCCCGGTGCAGGGGGCCTGGATTCAATCCCTGGTCAGGGAATTAGAGCCCGCATGCATGCCGCAACTGAGATCCCACGGGCCACAGCTGGAACCCGGTGCAGCCTAAATAAATAAATATTAGATAGAAAGAAAGAACTGATGAGAAGACAAAGTATCTGTGAGTTTGTAATATTGTAAAGGGAACAAAATTTCTGCAACCCAAGTATACCTTGAAGGAAAGTAACTGTATCATATATCTTGAAAAAAAAAGATGCCAAATTTAATTCATACACAGGCATGGCCTCCAAACTAAGTTTTACTTATAGATTCTCTGTACCACCATCCTCTTAACCATCACATGAAAATCCTTAGCGATCCCTACAGGAAGAGGCAGCTTTATTCAGACTAAAGGAAAAGGTGTTATCAGAGGCCACAGCCAAACTTTCATTTCAGATCCTAATGGAATGGAAAAGAGAATATAGTATCCATAAATGTTTCTTTCTCACATTTGGGAATCACTTTCTTAAAAAGAAGAGTGTGGAGAGTGAGGGAGGAAAAAGGGGAAGTTTCTTCATTGTCCTTTGCAATGCTCTGCACAAGGAGGGTAAACCCGGTGCCTTTGCTCTTCCCATTACTTAGGGAACAGATAATAATTAGGAAAATTATGCAACAAATGTTTATTGTGGGCTTCCTCTGTGTACTAGATAGAGTAATAAATGCATACTTCTTCCCCATCTCAAACTTTTTAGAGATTATTTTACTCAGTACCCCATTAGAGTTTATTTCACTCAGTGCCTTTACAGATAAACCAGCTATTCATGCTAAGAAGTGACCCTATGGTTGCTGGTATATATTATGATCATAGCATTTTCCCCAAAAGCCAAGGATAAGCTTCTGACACATCAATCATGTAATCCAACACACCTCTCTCTGTGTAAAGAATGCTTTATAGGCAGAACTGAGTACAGGATGGGAATGTGAGCTGCATACACCTCCTTTTGGATATTTTGGTTGATAAGACCATGCAATCCAGCAGAGCAGGCTGGAATTCTGCCAAATGAGCTCATATCCTCAGAAAAACTAATGACATTCATTGGGCTAGCAGGGAGGAGTCAGTATTTTTTCTTTATGAATTATCAGAGCTAGCTTAAGTCCTATGGAGACCCTAAGCATTGAAAGGATTATGGTACCTTCCTCTCCCACACATACATAATTCAGGATGAGTGTAATTAATTCCAATAAATTTCTGATTTTCTCATGAGGACAACTTCAATAATTGAAATACCAAAAATGAAATTATTTCCACAAAAAATTTAGAGATGCCCCTCCTACTTTGTTAAGCATGTATATGATTTACCTGTTGGGTATTTATCACCATATATTATGAACTGACAAAAGTCTGGGGGCTGAGAATCCCTTAAGTGGCTTAAACTTAGCCAAGGCTACCGTTACCTTTCAAACCATTTACGATCTGTAATATCTTCTGCCTTATGCCCACTCCAGTGCATACCCAAGGAAAGAGCCTGTAATACCATCTTCCTTTTAAACCCCCTCTAACTTCCTTTTTCAATGATGGATCCTTAGAGAACCCTTCCACGATTCAAGGGTCCTTCATCACAAATAGTTTGGAAAGCATTGGTTGTAACTGCTATATCTACCAATGCTGTAATGACAAGAGTGTGGAAGAGAATACAGAATAGGAGAGTTCCCAAAAGATCATACCTGGTCAGTTCAAGGGGTAAACAGGAAAATGAAATACTACAGTGGGCTCTATAACCAGCACACACTACTGCATGTGCCTCACAATCATGTATATCATAGGTTCTCAAATGGACGGGTCTTTGAATGCTCCTGCCACAGCAAACTATTCCTAAACACAAAATAGGGCTTCATATACTTCTCAATTCATGTATAAATGTATTTCTTTAAAGATTTTATTCAGCTTTCGATGCATTGTACGTATGTTGATCAGTGTTTTCTGTCTTCAGTTGTAAAATTCTGGAGCATAGATGCTAACACTCTACAGTTTTCTTTTAGTACTATCATAACCTGTATTTGCAGCTCTAATTATTATTTTTAAATTTTATTTATTTATTTTGGGGTGCATTGGGTCTTCATTGCTTCACACGGGCTTTCTCTAGTTGCGGCGAATGGGGGCTACTCCTTGTTGCGATGTGCAGGCTTCTCATTGCAGTGGCTATTCTTGTTGCGAAGCACAGGCTCTAGGCACACGGGCTTCAGTAGCTGTGGAACGCGGACTCAGTAGTTGTGGCTCGCGGGCTCTAGAGCGCAGGCTCAGTAGTTGTGGCGCATGGGCTTAGTTGCTCCGCGGCATGTGGGATCTTCCCGGACCAGGGCTCGAAGCCGTGTCCCCTGCATTGGCAGGCGGATTCTTAACCACTGCGCCACCAGGGAAGTCCCCTGCAGCTCTAATTATTTAAAAAGCCAATTCTAGCAGGGTCTGAGATCACAGGCCTGAATTTCTGCCCCTACCATCTGATCAGTGTGTGGTCCTTCCCTATACCATTCATATCTATTGTCTAACCTCTTTGTCAGACTTGATGAAAGCAGAGCCTATGGTTAACTGCTGCTGACCATTATACTGAGGCCCTGTGCTAGTTAAAGGCTTCATCTCTACAGTTGCTATGGTAACTATCCCCTTCCTCTCCCTACAACCTATTCTGGCTCTGCCTCCACGTAGCACTCTTTTCTGATTGCAAAAGAGGAGGCCTGCACATCTCTCTGTGCTCTTTGCCAGATTCAGATCTGCAAATTGTGGGGTGGAGGTGTAGCAGAGCATTGTCTCATGCGTCATATAGGGTGAGGCATCCCCACCGTCTTATGTTCTGCCAGTACTATTTCTCCCTCTCTGCTACAAAAAGGATTTTCAGGGCCCTGTCCATTTTTTAAAACTGAGATGTAATTGACATATTATGTTCATTTCAGGTAGGGCCATATCCAAATTGCAGAATGGATTGGATATTTTGCTAAATACATGTTCCATGATAGGAACCAGGACTGCTGTGAGGTACTCAAAATGCAGACACTGTCCAATCCTCCTCAGGGCCTCCAGAGGAGGCCTCCAGGGGTTCGCATGCAGCCTTGCTGAATCAAGTGCTGTGCTCCTTTCTTCCCGGTACATCCGGAAAGTATAAGGCAAATGGGACTCCAAAAAGTGCTGCCGGAGCCCTAGGGTGAAAGACAAGCTCTGTCTGATACATACACATACAGAATGATTCAGTATCCTGTGTAAAAGAAGACACTGGAGTGCAGAGTAGGTGGTGGAGACACACTGAGGAAAGGGGGAGGGTAGACTTACAGCACCACACCATTTTTACAAGGATGTTCCAGTCAGTCATAAAACAGTGCCAGCCTCCTCAGTCCTCTTTCATATCCCCTGGTTTTTCTTTTGTTTTGTTTTTAATTTTGGAAGGGCCAACCTCTTCACTGGTTCAAACACTGCCCCTTCTATTTGGAGAATTCCCTGGGGGAAGTAATACCATTGTCTCCCAAGGTTACCCAACTCACTGTGTCACATTACTTTCAGTTGGGTAGGTCTTTCCTGGGTTTTACTCAAACCCCCCTTGCTGCAGTCTGAGCCCATTGCACTCAGCAGAGATGGCGATGAGCCAACCACTATCTTTGGAATAACAACTCACCAGGGACTCAGGGCCGGAAGGTCATTCTGTCCCTCCAATACTGCACAGCCTTCCAGAGCACACCCAGGGCCTGAGGCAATGACGACAGAAACACCAAGGATGCAATGTAGGACCCTGGCAGGCAGTGACAGGAGGAAAAAAAAAAAAAAGCTCCATACAATGATAATACAGACACACCGACAAAGAACGATGCACCCAAACGAACTCAGAGTCAAGAGAGGGACAAGATGGCTCCCCTCAGTTCGGGCGAGGCTGCGGAATTGCCAGACAGCACTTATCCGGGAAATATCCTAACTAGAAGCTTCTTCTGGCGCCGAGGCAATAGACTCGCCCCTCCACCCGGCCCTCAGAGCCCCCATCCCTACTCAAGTCGGAGTGGGAGCTCCCTCTGGAAAACGAGTGGGGGCGAAAGGGGACAGCCACGCCCCCGCCCCCCCAGGCACAGCGAAACCGCAGAGCCAGAGCACGCGGCCCCAGCCCGGCCCCTGCGGCGCCAACGGTCCGCCCCCTGACAGGCAGCAGCCAATGAGCGGCTCCTGCCGCCGGCCTTTAAGAACCGCGCGCACTCTCCCTGCAGCGGATGCTGCCGGCCTAGCACTCCAACGGAGTTTCCATGGAGACCGAGGCTGGGCCCTGGCGGCCTTTCGACGTTGCCATGGAGACAAGTCCCGGGCTAGGGCTCCGAAGCCCCGGCTCTCTGCTGGCTCAGAACCCCGCGGAGCCGCTGTGCGAGGCCGGAGCCGCGGTGGCGGCGGCACGCTGGGACCTGCGGAAACACTCTTTGCTCATCGTGATCGGCGATATCGGTACAGAGAATCAGCTGAGGGCCGTTCGGGCCCACCTTGAGCAAGGTGAGCTTGCTGTCCTGGCTGCTCTTGGGACATCCTCCATCCCGTGCTTCTCTACCATGTGCATCCTCCATCCCTAGCGTGCACTTCCTGAGATCTGCGCACCCTGTTAATCTGATTCATCAGCCCCTGTCACCTGCATCTTCTGTGTCACGCGTTCATATCCTCCCAAGCTGCCAACATCTCACATCTCCATCCTTCCCGCACACCCCATGGCGTTCGCAGTCTCCCTGAGGCAGGCGGGAGTGTGGGGGAGGGGGGAGCTGGGCAGTGCCTGGGTGGAGGGCCCTCTGGTTACACCCCTCTCTCCCCCAGTGTCTTGGGCCAGAGGTTCTGAAAGTCGTCACCATCCCCTGGAGAGTCCATGTCCCTACCTTAGTTTCTTCCTTAGGGCGTCTGAACAGACACAGGGTGCGTTTTGAACGCCGCAGACAAATCTCAAATATCCCAGTACTAGCGGCCAACCTGAGAGAGTGACCTTCGTGGCCACAAGCTCCTCAGTCCTCCACTGCCTGTGGTGCAGTGCTGCGGAGCCACCTGCGGGTGGAAGCATGCCGCGGGGGAGTGGAGGCAAGGAGGGGACCACAGAAGGAGAGTGTAGAATCCTACTTACCTGTATGGGGAAGGCAGTCCCTAGTATCTGGGAATGGGCCCTTGGGTGTCACTTCTATCACAATTGGGCAACTGCGCAAGAAAATTCCTACATACAAACTCGTTAATGACCAAATGTAGCCTAAACCCTGCACTTCTCCCTCTGGCTCAGCAAAGCCCAAGAAAAGCACAGGATGGGAGCTAGACATAGGCACTAGCCACATTTCTTAAAGACATCAATGAGGCTGATCATGGCAGCCGTCCTTATCCCCTCCCTCTCCTTACCCCTTCTGTGAGCTTGGAAATGCTCCCACAAGTCCAATCCCTCTGACCTTATCTAGGTCCCTCTTTGTTTCTTTTTCTCTCACAGGGATTCTCTCCTGGAACATTGATTTATCATCCATTGACTTGAACCAACAATTGAGACTCTTCATTACCCGGCACCTAGCTCACTTCTCCTCAGAGGTCAAAGGTTAGGACCAGTGTCATTTGTCTCAGTCCTTTGGGTGAGGGCTGGTCACAGAAGAGCAGAAGTCCACTCTCCCTGGCAGAACTGGCCTTGTGGGAAGTTTGGGTCAGGGAGGAGGCAGGGACTTCTGAGGGGAAAATTGTAAAGCTCCTTAACTATCCCCACATACCCAGTACACTTCGCAAACAGATGGTATGATGGTGGAGGAAGCCTGGAGAACGTAATTTCTACTTGAGAAGAGGGTGGGTTATGGACAGCCACTGACGTGCAGTAAGGGAATGTGGTACCTCTTGAGTGATCAGTCATCTCCCAAGTAAAAATTCCTTTTTTTGGTTTGTTCCCCTTTCTGTATGCCCTGGCCTCCTTGCTTCCCTTTGCAGAGACCCTTGAACCTCCCACTCACCTTCCCAGATCCTTGCTTAGCAGTTTCCCTCAGGCTGCACAGCCTATCCTCCAGGTTTCAGGGTTTCTGCCTCCTCCTTTGGCTCAGTCAACAGATGTCCAGAGCAGAGCAGAAACCTTGTACCAAAGGCTGATGAGCACCATGAAATCCAGAGTGGAAGCAGGGTTTCCTGGATTTACTGCTGCAAGAACTAGTCATACTTTGAGGTTTGGCACTGAGATCAAAGTTCACAGGATGCAGCTTCCCATTCTGCTGTGTGGGAGAAATGGTCAGGAATTTGAGAAAATAATATTTTAGGAGTTATTATTCCATGACAATATCTGTGGGGAGACTGCAGAAAGCCCTACACCCCATTATAAAAGTGCTGGGCATCTGCTCATGTTATTGGTAAATGTTGACAAACCAATTCATACACCAGTGTCTTTACGGAATATAAATCCACCCAACTCAACAGTCACTGCCATCAAATGACTGAATTCGTATCTCATACAGATAATTCTCAATTATCCAGCATAATAGATAGTCACATCCCTTCTTTTCCTGCTCCTCCTGCTAACTGCCACATGGTTGGTCATTTCCCTGATCACCTGCTCCTCTGCTGCTCCTGGAGAGAGAAGACATGGTTAATATGACTACTGATCCATTATCTTAGGAATAAGTGCAGCATTTTTAAAATGTGAGTCTGGCATTTTTTTTTTTTTTTTTTTTTTTTTTTTTTTTTTTTTTTGGGCGGTACGGGGCCCTCTCACGGCTGTGGCCTCTCCCGTCGCGGAGCACAGGCTCCGGACGCGCAGGCTCAGCAGCCATGGCTCACAGGCCCAGCCGCTCCGCGGCATGTGGGATCTTCCCGGACCGGGGCACGAACCTGTGTCCCCTGCATCGGCAGGCGGACTCTCTACCACTGCGCCACCAGGGAAGCCCTGGCATCTTCTTGATGTGACTGGCTTCCTATGAAGGTAACCAGTCACTGTTTTGAGACTGCCTTCTGTTTAGTATTACTCATTTCATGGCTTCCTCCATTAGCTCTAATAATTTTAAAATCAACAGTTTTACCACTTTATTAATCCTAGGAGCTTTGGTGCAAGGCTGGATAAAGGGACGGCAGCATGAAATTAATGACTGAACTGAAGTTTGGGGAGTATCTGCTGATGTTATTAATTCACACTGAATTCTCCAACCTTGTCCTTTTGGACACGGATGTAAGAGTAGGATGCCTTCTGGAATGATGTAAGAATGAACAGAACTTAAACCAAAACACCTAGCCATTCTTCAGATTAAGATTTGGGGATGCTTGGGAAAACACTTACAGGGCGCTGCATAGTTACTCTCAGGGACCTCTCAGAAACAAGCACTGATATACCAGCACCTACTAGATCTTCTCAAGCAAAGAGTTTTACCATGGTGTCCTCAAGAGGCTTAGGGCCATTATACCCAAGATCAGGGCTTACTTTTGAGTTTTTTTAGGTTTGGACATTTTCATGGTGGCCTGTGTATGTCCCTGGAGAATAGTGGAGAATTTCCTGGAAAACCCCACAAGGCCCAAGACAGCCACAGCCCCACCCCTGCTGGCTCCTCTTTCAGCTGTCCCCGCAAACAACAGCCCAGAGCAGCTGCAGACACTTCCCCTCCCTTCAGCCTCCATTAGTGGGGAGGCAGAGGGAACCAGGCTGCTGGGATGGGCTCAGTGGAATATGCTAGTACCTTATGATTGAATCCTTTCTGCCCACCCCATAGGCCTCTCACCTCTCACCTCTCCTCAAGCCCTGGGCCAAAATGTTGAAAAGGAGGACAAAAATTTATCTTGCTATGATAGGGAGAGTGTAATCATTCCTGCCACTACCCCCTACACACACACACACAAACACACACACACACACACACACACACACACACACACACACACACACACAGAAAAGGAGGGGACCCTTTGATGGAGCGTCAATGGCCCAGCTCCTTCTAGTGGTCAAATGTGGTAAAGGCTTTCCGAGGTGAATTTGCACCACTTTTGTCTCCAGTGGTGACTTGGAGCCTTCCTTTCTAACTCCTGCAAAAAAATCTGGAGCTTCTAAGCATTTTAAAACAACCCCAGAAACGATTAGAACAGTGGGAAACTGAGCTTAAATAACACTCTAATACTACTTCTATAATTTATAATTCATGATGGATATTCTAGGACTAAAAAAACACAGGCTGAAGGACCAGTTTGGAAGCCTTCTGTCTGACTCTGCATCACCACTGATGCACTCACTCAGGAAGTGTTAGTTCCTTTACTTCTGCAAACATGAAGGCTATTCTGAATTAATACAACAGCTCATTGGCCCCTAGAACTGGGTTTTGCTTTGCTGTCAGAAATAGGAAAGAAGGGACGTGAAGAGTATTTTAAGTCCCTTCCTGCAGGCACCTCCCAGGCCCCTGGGTTTACCTGGGAGCTAAGTTACTCTAGAGTTGAGATTCTGGTTTAGGATTTCCCTGATCACCTAGGAGACCTCTCATAAATCTTCCACAAAAGGGAGACAGACTTCCAGTGGTATTTGTGCATTGCAGATTTAGGATTCTAGGAATGAAGGACTTTTTCATCTTTTATGTCATTCACTCCTCATAGCATTATTGGAGGATGGTACTAATATTACACTCATTTTATAATTCAGGAAGCAAGCTTTCAGAGGGCTTAAGTGGCTTGTTGAAAAGCATGATTAGTAAAATGGTAGAGAGGGGTCTCAAATCCAGGACTTGCCATCTCACTTTGTGTCTGAGCTCAGGCCTCCCTCTCATCTTTGGCGTCTCACCATTTCATTGCAGCAGAGCCAAGGAACACAGCGGGTGGAGGTGTGGTTGTGGTGAGTGGCTGTTCAGAGGGTGAAGGCTGAAGGAAAACTCCACTGTGAGTTGGAACCTTGCCCAGGGTGTGGCCCTTGGGGGTAACAGCTGAGAATAAGGGTGGGCTCTGCTTTGGGCTGAGAAATGTTATTTTGTTCTCAAGCTACATGTCTACTCAAGTTTCCCTCTTTGCACACTCCAGAAAGCTCCAGAAAGCAGGGAGGAGATGGAAGGTTTGAGGTGGGAGGAAATAAGAACCATGAAGTTGCAGAAAGGAGGTGTTTCCCCTTTGTGATGTTCAGAACTCAGCCTGGTTTGTGTTGTATATCTCTGTAGCTGGCCTCCTCTATCCAAGTGGGGCTGTTGCCATGTTGCTGCTTTGCATCCCCGGATCTCAGCAAGGATTCCTCCCCCTCTGGAGTCCCCCTCCCCCCCTTGCACTGGTGACTCAGCTCCTCCTCTCCTCTGGTGGCAGTTTAGGGGGGATGGGGATGCTGAGAGCAGAGACTATTTTGGCTTCTCTGACCTTCAAAAGCTGCTCTTGGCAGCCAGGGGCAAGGGTGGGGCTGGTGCTGGGCTAAGAGTGGGTGGATGTCATTGTGAGGAAGGCAGTAGGAATCGGCCAGGACTGGGGAGGGATGATGGAAGGGAAGAGGGCAGGGGGACATGAGCATTGCCCTGTTGGAACTGAGTGCTGGAGCTCTCCAGGTCCTCTCTTTGAGTCCTAGAGCACGTGTCACCAAATCTGAGACAGGGGTAGAGACTAAGGGAAACAGGGCCAATATTAGAAGGATTAAGATCCTATAAAATGGAGACATCAAAGAGACATAGCTAAGTGCAGAGACAAGGAGAACAGGGACCCAACACCCTACAAAGTCATTACAAGATCTTTTTAGTCCAAAGAGTACTTTCTGTGACATTTAATAATTGGCCTAGAGTAAGAAAATCTTGTACGCCTGAGGCCCTGGTGATTTTCCTTCATCCCTTTAACTATTTCACTGAAAGGCAGAAAGTGCCCTGAATCTTCAGAAAATGCCTCTTCATACCCAATGACCAAGAATCCCAAGTATCAGTGCCTGTGTGGTTGCTGTGCTGTGCTGCATTGGCACAGAATTGTATGCGGTCTTAGGGCCCCTGTTCCCCACCCCCGATGGGCTAGAGATGGACTAAGGACCATGCCTCCACTCCAGAATTTCAAACTACCCTCCAACCTAAAATGAGACTTATTTCTGCCCTCCCACCCCATTTCTACAGCTGTGGCTCAGAAGCCAGCAGAGCTCAGCGCAACTCCCTCCCTTCAGTCGTCCCCAGCCTTCTCAAGTAGTCCCCCCTCACTCCTACCCCATGCTCTCAGGCCCCCAGCCTCTTTGTCTCCTGCTCCTCCAGGGATTGAAGGTCACTCCCTGAGTCTGAGGGGAGAGGCAGCAGATGGTTTCGGAGAGAAGGGGGAGGGCCCAAGCAGCCCATACCTCCTACATCCCTCCAGTGTGTAGCACAGGGCTGTGGTCTTTTGGCTGATGCTAAAAGAATATTTCTTAACTAAGCGGGGTTGGGGGAGAAAGGCCCTGTGGGCCATTGGAGACCACCCTGGCTCTGAGCTGCTAGACAACTCCTCAGGTCCCAGCCAAGCAGAAGCACCAGATCACTGACATTGTGAAGGCAAAGAAACAGTTAAGTCTCCAGTGCCTCGTCATGGACCAGCCCCTCTTCCCCGCCCTGGCGCCGCCCTAACCATCAAGCGCCCCCCCCCCACCCCGCACTCCCACCCCTAGTGCCGCAGACTCGTCCCCGAAGCTGCCGGCTGAGGCCGGAGCCACAGCCTCGATGAGGGTCTCTCTCCCACACCCCAGGGTAAGAACCGAACCGAACCAAAGGGCTTGGCGTGGGGCACGGGGGATGCTGTGATAGGGAGGTGGGATGCGGGTAATGGGAAGGGAGTTGATACCTCATCTGGTGTGTCTGGAACTAGCCCAGCGGGGGTGGGCAGGGTGGGGGAACAGAGAGAGGAGATGAACTGGCTGTGGGGCCAGCCTGGACCCAGAACCAGGCGGAGGCCAATGGGGCCAGGACCGTGACAGGCCACCTCGCGGGCTGAGCTGGGCTGAGCTGAGCTGGGAGCCAGCCGCCTAGGGGCAGCCGCAGAGGGTGGTGTCACTGGCTCTGCCCCGAGGCCTGGGGCTCTGGTGGCATTTGGGGGCTCTGTCTTTGGTGGGGGCAGAAGAATCTGAGGGAAAGGCGGATGTTATGGGAAGGCACCTGATGGGAGGGTCTCTGGGTGTCAGCTGCTAGATTGCTCAGCTGCTCTTATGCTGGGGGGTGAACGGGACTGCGAGTTTTTGCCAAGTATGGGAAGGTGGGGACACTATGGAAAAGAAGGAAGGAAAGGGTCATTAAGACGTGGCATGCGCCTCCTCACAGACCAACCTATTTGCAGCGTGCTCCCCACACCCATTCCCTGCGACGAGCTTGAAACTTGGGCCGCGAGCCTCCCTTTCTGGCTCCCTCTGGGGATGGAGAGGCCGCTCCGGAGATTGAGAGCACTCCCTCCCCAGCAGCTGCCCCGCATTCCCCGTCCTGTCAACCCCACAGGTTCCCAGTCACGGCCTCCCACCCCACCTCATCTCTGCTTCCCTTCCCAAGATGGGGGCTCTGAACAGAGAAGCCAGTTCCTTCTCCCTCTCTGCGTCCCCCCCTCCCCGCCCCCCGTGTAGAGGCAGCCAAGAAAATGACTTGTCATGCTGGTGGGGGGGGGGTGGGGGCGGAGCTGGAGCCTGAGCTCAGCGCGCACACTCACACTCGCTCACACACTGCGGCAGACTGCAGCTGCCCGGGCGCCCCCCCCTCCCCGGCCGCCTCCCTGCGGAGACACCTGCCCTCCCGCCCGCTCAGCCTCAGCACCCGCAGCCCACCCCCCCAGCCCCATCTCTGGCAAAGGGACGGGCCCCTGCCTCACCAGGTGTCCTCTCCGAAGAAGGAGGGAAGACAAGCCAATTGCCTTCAATGGGATTGCGGGCGGTGGGGGGGTTGTAGGAGAGAAACAGGGCTTTCCCCCAGGCCTGAAAAGGAGGAGCACAAGGTGTAAACCATGTAGTTGCCAGTCACAACCGGAGAGCACATGGGTGAGGGGCAGGGTGTTGTGCCAAGGCAAGTACTGGGATCAGAGAGGTCTATGGTTATAAGCCCATCTAGGGGACTGCAGGGAATGGTAGACTGGGGAAGGCGGGTAGTAGATAGAAAGCAAATCCATCCGTACCCCAGATCTTGCTCTTTTTTGGCCCTCCTAGTTCAAATGTGTGACCTTGTGTGTTCGTGGTGTGTGTGGCGGGTGGGTGTGGGGGGAGAGGAACTGCCCTTCTAAGCTAAACTGCTTAGAGCTAGCCTAGGGCCGGCCGCTCCCCGAACCATGGTGTATCCCTCATCTCTCACCTGCCCAAGCCCTGCCCGTGCGTGTCTCTGAGGTGCTTCTCATCCTCCGAACCGACCTCAAAGTGTCCCTCAACCCCCAAGTTAATAGAAAAGAACGCTTGAACTCCTCATGGGCCCCACCTACCCTGTGCGGGGCTTGGTCTTCTGACACCATCCCTAGTTCATTTCCCCCGCAGCTGCCAACTGCATCCCAGTGCTGCCAGATCTGCCCGATCCTGGCACCATCGCTCTTCCACTTAACAAAGGCCCTGGCCCCAGGGTCCTCTTGTCTGAGCCCCAGAAAGAGGAGAGAGCGCTGGGTCACAGAAGAGGGTCTGGGGGACAGGTTATGTGTCCTCCCACCAATATCCTCCAGACAGCCCACTCCCCAGACCATCTGTTCAACTCCGTGTTTGTAAGGTAAATCCACTGTGTGCTGCAGTTGGTAAGGGCAGGAACGGGATGGCAGCATCCTTCTTCAGGATCTCCTGTCTAACCTGGCACTTTTTTTCTTTGCTGCATTTCTTGGTGTTTCATGTGAGCCTGGATAAGGGAAATAGAGAGGGGATTTGATGGCGTATTATGTTCCTCCATAGCCTGGGGAATACTCTGAACCTCTCCTGCCTTATCTGTTTCTTGTTTGTGAATCCCAGACTCCCCCTCTCCATGACAGAAGGCCCACAGGAGCGGTGCAAGGATGAGAGGAGAAACTGTTTGAAAGGGATGGGTTGTGGGGAGTGAACCAGGTCTTTCTGGAGCCTGGGGACATGAAGGTGAGGTGGGAAGGGGAGCTGTGAAACCTTTGGTGGTGGAAACAGTATGATTGTGTGCATGTTTGTGAGTGCAGGCTCGGCCTCTGAGGAACCAGAGCACAGAATAAGAGGTCCTATTTCTCCTCTGCATTGTAACCAACCCCCAAGGGTTTAGAGAGCATAGACTTCTCTGAGTCTTTTGGAATGGGACTTCTGGCCTTGGGTGGGGGTTTGAAAGGAGGATGAGGAGTCTGTACTCACTGCACAGAAGCACCCATCTCCTTATTTCCAGGCACTCTGGCAAGAAAGCCCAGGGCAGAGGCAAGCTAGTGAGGACAGAGCTGAGTGAGGACCATCCTCCGAGAGGCCCTCCCTTCAACTGAGCCCCCTGCTGTCCCCAGGCAGCACCAGGAGCTTAGTGCTCTAGAGGGACAGACAGGGACAAAAGGTTCTTGTCTCCAGGGCAGTCTGAGGCGGGAGTTCCAGGCAGAGGGGGTGGCAGATGAAGGGAGGGAGAAGACAGCCATTGTGGGAGAGGGGAGGAGGAAACCCTGAAAGGGAAGGGCTGCAGGAGCCAGTCCCTAGACCTTACTCAGCAGTAGCCAGAGTGGCAGGATCTCAGGATAAGCAGGCTTCTCTTTCCCCTAAGCTCCATTTTCTGACAGCGCATTCTTTCCTCTCCTGCCCTACACAATGCCTCTCCATTTTAGTCTATACCCACTTCCTTCAGTACAAATTCCTGCATCTCTCCCTCAGGCCAGAGGACCCTCTGCCACCAGAGTGAGATCCTAGAGACCATCGTCCTGGTAAACCCCAGTGCCGACAGCATCAGCTCCGAGGTAAGGCCGGGGCCTGTGCTTTGCCACGAGGGCCTCTACCGAAAGTGCCGTAACCCACCCTTGCCAGTGCTACTGCTGTAAGGCCAGGAATTCCCAGACTTGGCTTTGAGCCATCCTCTCTCTGCCATGTAAGCTGCCTCACAATCCCAGCCCCATCCTGGAGGTGCTGTGGGGCTACCAGTGGGGAGCGTGTCCTTGCAGAACTGAGGGGGACCAGGAACATTCTGTGCCCTTCCCGGGGCTTCCTCTCTCTGTGACCAGTCCTCTCCTTCCACTCTAGGTTCACCACCTCCTTAGCAGCCCATCAGCTCACAAACTGCTGATCTTGAGTGGGCAAAGTTTAGAGCCTGGGGGAGACCTCATCCTACAGAGTGGCACCTACTCCTATCAAAACTTTGCCCAGGTCCTTCAAAACCCAGAGGTAAGTTCTATGTCTGAGTGTCTAGGAGGAACAGAACATGGGGTAGGACTAGAGCTGCAGGGAGGGATCCAAGGAAGGGAAAATCCCACATTCCTTGACCACCAGGGTTGCTGGCAGAATGGTAGGAGATCACCTCAGAGAGAGATGGAGATTAGCAGATTGAGTCTGAGTTGGCTTGCAATAACCCCAATGACCTGATCAGCCTTCTGTCTCCCCTTCATCTAGATTGCCCAGTTGCTCAGCAATAGAGACCCTGGGATCCAGGCTTTCCTCACTGTGTCCTGCTTAGGGGAGGGTGATTGGAGCCACCTGGGACTATCCAGTTCCCAAGAGACCCTGCACCTCCGGCTAAACCCTGAGCCCATGCTGCCCACCATGGATGGCGTGGCTGAGTTCTCCGAGTACGTCTCTGAGACCGTGGATGTGCCATCCCCCTTTGACCTGCTGGAGCCCCCCACCTCAGGGGGCTTCCTCAAGCTCTCCAAGCCATGCTGCTACATCTTCCCTGGCGGCCGCGGGGACTCTGCCCTCTTTGCCGTTAATGGTTTCAACATCCTGGTGGATGGTGGCTCTGATCGCAAGTCCTGCTTCTGGAAGCTGGTGCGGCACCTGGACCGCATTGACTCCGTGCTGCTCACACACATCGGGGCAGACAACCTGCCAGGCATCAACGGACTCCTGCAGCGCAAAGTGGCAGAACTGGAGGAGGAGCAGTCCCAGGGCTCTAGCAGCTACAGTGACTGGGTGAAGAACCTCATCTCCCCCGAGCTTGGAGTCGTCTTCTTCAACGTGCCCGATAAGCTGCGGCTGCCTGATGCCTCGCGGAAGGCCAAGCGCAGCATTGAGGAGGCCTGCCTCACTCTGCAGCACTTAAACCGCCTAGGCATCCAGGCCGAGCCCCTCTACCGTGTGGTCAGCAACACCATCGAGCCGCTGACCCTCTTCCACAAGATGGGTGTGGGCCGCCTGGACATGTACGTCCTCAACCCTGTCAAGGATAGCAAGGAGATGCAGTTCCTCATGCAAAAGTGGGCAGGCAACAGTAAAGCTAAGACAGGCATTGTGCTGGCTAATGGGAAGGAGGCTGAGATCTCGGTGCCCTACCTGACCTCCATCACTGCTCTGGTGGTCTGGCTACCAGCCAACCCCACTGAGAAGATTGTGCGCGTGCTTTTTCCAGGGAATGCTCCCCAGAACAAGATCTTGGAGGGCCTGGAAAAGCTTCGACACCTGGACTTCCTGCGCTACCCCGTGGCCACGCAGAAGGAGCTGGCCACTGGGGCTGTGCCTGCCAACCTCAAACCCAGCAAAATCAAACAGCGGGCTGATAGCAAGGAGAGCCTCAAGGCCACAACCAAGACAGCCGTGGGCAAGCTGGCCAAACGGGAGGAGGTGGCCGAAGAGGGAGCCAAGGAGGCCCGCTCAGAACTGGCCAAGGAGTTAGCCAAGGCAGAGAAGAAGGTAAAGGAGTCATCTGAGAAGCCCCCAGAGAAGCCTGCCAAGCCTGAGAGGGTGAGGACAGAGTCGAGTGAGGCACTGAAGGCAGAGAAGCGAAAGCTGATCAAAGACAAGGTGGGGAAGAAGCACCTGAAAGAAAAGATATCAAAGCTGGAAGAGAAAAAAGACAAAGAGAAGAAAGAGATCAAGAAGGAGAGGAAGGAGCTCAAGAAGGATGAAGGAAGGAAGGAGGAAAAGAGGAAAGATACCAAACCTGAGGTCAAAAAGATTTCCAAGCCAGACCTGAAGCCCTTTACCCCTGAGGTACGTAAGACCCTCTGCAAAGCCAAGGCCCCCGGCAGAGTCAAGATGGAGAAGAGCCGGGCTGCCCGTGGGGAGAAGGAGCTGTCCTCTGAGCCCCGGACACCGCCAGCCCAAAAGGGGGCTGCACCATTCCCAACAAGGGAGCTGGCTTTGTCTTCACCAGAGGATCTCACACAGGACTTCGAGGAGTTGAAGCGTGAGGAGACGGGGTTGCTGGCTGAACAAAGGGACACAGGACTAGGAGAGAAACCACTCCCGCCAGACACTGCAGAGGAGGGACTCCCAAGCACAGCGGCCCCGGGGGCACCACCCTCTGTCCCAGGGCTGGAACCAGAAGAGCCTGTGATAAAGGAGAAAGAGGCTGTCCCAGACGTCCCTGAGGAACAAGGCAGCAAGGACAGAGGCCCAGACACTGGGGCTGAAACAGAGAAAGAGAGAGCCCCCTGGGAGGATAAAAAGGCAAAGGAATCAGAGGGGCTCCCTGAAAGAACAGAAGCCAGAGAGGAAAGTGAACCTGAGGTAAAGGAGGATGTGATAGAGAAGGCCGAGTTAGAGGAAATGGAGGAGCTGCACCCTTCAGACGAGGAGGAAGAGGAAGAGACAAAGGCTGAGGGTTTTTACCAAAAACATATGCAAGAAGCCTTGCAGGTAACGCCAAGGGGCAGGGAGGCTCTCGGGGGCCAGGAACTAGGACTCCAAGGCAAGGCCCCAGAGAAGGAGACCTCGTCATTCCTAAGTAGCCTGGCCACCCCTGCAGGAGCCACTGAGCACGTCTCTTACATCCAGGACGAGACAATCCCTGGCTACTCAGAGACCGAGCAGACTATCTCAGATGAGGAGATCCATGATGAGCCGGAGGAGCGTGCAGCTCCACCTAGATTTCCTACAGGTACCTATGACCTCCCTGGGCCTGAAGGTCCTTGCCCCTTTGAGGCTAGCCAGCCTGCAGACATTGCTGTTCCCACCACCCCCAGCAAAGGCTATGGAGCACCGGAGTCGGAACTCACCTACCCCCCCAACATGGTGGCCGCCCCTCTGGCTGAAGAGGAGCATGTGTCCTCGGCCACCTCAATCACTGAGTGTGACAAGCTTTCTTCCTTTGCCACATCCGTGGCTGAGGACCAGTCCGTGGCTTCACTCACAGCTCCCCAGACAGAGGAGACAGGTAAGAGCTCCCTGCTGCTTGACACGGTCACAAGCATCCCCTCCTCCCACACAGAAGCCACTCAGGGCCTGGACTACGTGCCATCAGCTGGTACCATCTCACCCACCTCCTCACTGGAAGAAGACAAAGGTTTCAAATCACCACCCTGTGAGGAGTTCCCCGTGACTGGGGAGTCAGAGAAGAGAGGAGAGATTGTACGGAGAGGCTTGTCTGGAGAGAGAGCCGTGGAAGAGGAAGAGGAAGAGGAGGAGACCGCAAACGTACAGATGTCCGAGAAACTTGACGGTCAGTATGAACCCCTGATGTTTGCTGCCCCTGGCCACACCCTACATCCCGGGGAACCAGCCGTTGGAGAAGCGGAGGAGCGCTGCCTCAGCCCAGATGACAGCACAGTGAAGATGGCCTCTCCCCCACCATCTGGCCCACCCAGTGCCACCCACACGCCCTTTCATCAGTCCCCAGTGGAAGAAAAGTCTGAGCCCCAAGACTTTCAGGAAGCAGACTCCTGGGGAGATACTAAGCGTACACCAGGTGTGGGCAAGGAAGATGCTGCAGAAGGGACAGTCAAGCCGGGGCCTGAAGAGGGCACACCAGAGGAGGAGGGAAAGTTGCCTCCTCCCAGGAGCCCCCAGGCCCAGGAAGCACCCATCAGCATTGTTGGAGGACATGCAGGCTGTACCGTCCAACTGCTGCCAGAAGAGGACAAAGCAATAGTCTTTGAGACTGTGGAGGCGGGAGAGCCCACAGGGCCAATTCTGGAAACAGAAGCCCTCCCCAGAGATTTGAGAACATCACACCAAGAACTTGGTGAACCTCAGAAAGATGAAGTGCTCCGGTTTCCTGACCGAGGCCTCTCCCCGGAAGAGGTGGAGTCCCCCTCTGTCCTCAGCGTGGTCTCCCCAGACACTGCCAACCAAGAAGACATCCCTAGGTCTCCCTGTGGCCTGACAGAGCAGCACCTACACAAAGATCTTTGGCCACAGGTATCTCCAGAAGACACCCGGTCGCTTTCTCTCTCAGAAGAGAGTCCCAGCAAGGAGACCTCTCTGGATATCTCTTCTAAGCAGCTGTCTCCAGAAAGCCTTGGCACCCTCCAGTTTGGGGAACTAACCCTTGGAAAGGAAGAAAAAGGGCCTCTGATGCAGACTAAGGACACCTCTCACCGCCTAGCCCCTGTGTCTATTCCAGAAGCCCATGCAGCCACAGTGTCACCTCCCACAGATGGGACCAGTGGATACGCTGCACAAGCAGACGTCACAGATGACAGCCCTGATGGAAAATTACCTGCCAGTTCCTTCTCTCACTATACACTGTTGGGAGATGGGAAGAAGTCACCTGGAATGATCACAAGCCCTGGTGAACACATTCTGACACCTGATAGCTCCCTCACCAAGAGTCCTGAGTCCTTGCCAAGCCCTGCCATGGAGGATATTGCCATGGAGTGGGAAGGTAAAGTTTCAGAGTTGAAAGATGGACCCCCAGAGCAGGAGAAGGGACCTGAGCCAAAGGATGAAGTCCTACAGCAGAAGGACAAAAGTCTGGAGCAGAAGGATACTGTCACAGAGCAGAAGGGTACAGCCATCTATCGCAAAGATGAGGTTCTGGAAGAAAAGGACAAGGCTGTGGAACAGCAGGATAAGGCTTTGGAACAAAAAGGCAGAGACTTAGATCATAGGGACACAGCCCTGGAACAAAAGGACAAGGCCCTGGAAGGAAAAGACAAAGACTTAGAACCTAAAGACAGAGACTTAGAACCAAAAGACAAGACCTTGGAACAGGAGGACAAGGTCCCAGGAGAGAAAGATGAAATCTTAGAACAAAAAGTCAGAGAGTCTGAACATAAAGACAAGGTTCCAGAGGACAAGGTCCCTGAACTGAAGGGCAAGGCCTTAGAACAGAAAAATGAAGCCCCTGAGCAGGACAAGGCCCCAGAACCGAAGGACAAGGCCTTGGAAAAGAAGGACCAGGCTTTAGAACAAAAATACTTGGTCCTAGAACAGAAGGGTGAAGCTCTGGAACAAAACATTTGTCCAAAGGCTGTTGAACAAAAAGACAAGATTCTGGAAGAGAAGGACAAAACTCAGGAGCAGGAGAGTCCTGTGCAGGAGGATAAAACCATGACGCCAAAGGAGAAGATCCTAGAGGAAAAATCTCCAGAAAAAGTCAAGGCTATGGGACAGAAGGAAGAAGCTCTGCTGGAGAAGACCAAAGCTCTGGGGCTGGAAGAGAGCCCAGTGCAGGAGGACAAGGCCCGGGAGCAGGACGAGAAGTACTGGAAGGAGCAGGATGTGGTCCAGAAGTGGCAAGAAACATCTCCAGCCAGAGGAGAGCCAGCTGGAGAACAGAAGGAGCCTGCCCGGACATGGGAGGACACATCTCCTGAGCAGGAGGACAGGTACTGGAGGGGCAGAGAGGATGTGGTCCTGGAACAGGACACATACTGGAGGGAGCTGAGCTGTGAGCAGAAGGTCTGGTTCCCTCATGAGCTGGGTGGCCATGGGGCCCGGCCACGGTTCACAGAAGAGCGGGAGAGCACTTTCCTCGATGAGGGGCCGGATGATGAGCAGGAAGTGCCCCCCTTGGAGCCTACACCCAAGAGTCCTTGGGCCTCAGACTTTAAGGGCTTCCAGGAGCCCTCACCACAGAAGGAGCTGGAGGTGGAGCGCTGGCTTGCTGAGTCACCAGTTGGGCTGCCACCAGAGGAAGAGGACAAGCTGACTCGCTCCCCTTTTGAGATCATCTCTCCTCCGGCCTCCTCACCTGAGATGGTTGGACAGAGGGTTCCGCTGGCCACAGGACAAGAGAGCCCTATCCCAGATCCTAAGCCCATGCCACCCATGAGGAATGAGCCCACCACCCCCTCATGGCTGGCTGACATCCCACCATGGGTACCCAAGGACAGACCCCTGCCCCCTGCACCCCTGTCCCCAGCTCCAGCTCCCCCAACACCTGCCCCACAGCCACTCACTCCTGCGCCCTTCTCTTGGGACACAGCCGACTATGACAGTGTGGTGGCTGCAGTGCAGGAGGGGGCAGCTGAGTTGGAAGGCGGGCCGTACTCCCCCCTAGGGAAGGACTACCGCAAGGCTGAAGGGGAAAGGGAAGAAGAAGGTGGGGCTGGGGTTCCTGACAGCAGCCCCCTCAGGTCAAAGGTCCTAGAGGCCAGCGAGAGCCATGCCTCTAAGGAGCCCGAGCAGACCGAGCCAGAGCAGAGAGAGCCCACACCCTATCCTGATGAGCGAAGCTTCCAGTACGCAGACATCTATGAGCAGATGATGCTCACTGGGCTGGGCCCTGCATGCCCCACTAGAGAGCCTCCACTTGGAGCAGCTGGGGATTGGACCCCACACATCTCAACTAAGGAGGAGGCTGCTGGCCGATTCACATCTGCAGAGAAGGAGCTTTCGTCTCCTGTCTCACCCCATCACCTCCAATTCGACATGCCAACCTTCAGCTATGCAGCTCTGGTGGGACCCACCGTACCCCCCAAGCAGGAGCCTGAGCCAGGGCCAAGCGTGGATCCTAGCCTCACCCCACCTGCAATACCCCCCCGTGCTCCTATCCCCCAGAGCAAAGGCCCAAGCCCCCCACTTAATGGTAACATCCTGAGCCATAGCCCAGATAGGAGAACCCCATCCCCCAAGGAACCAGGCCGTGGTCACTGGGATGACAGCACGAGTGACTTGGAGCTGGAGAAGGGGGCTCGGGAGCAGCCTGAGAAAGAGGCCCAGTCCCCAAGTCCCCCGCAACCCATGCCTGCAGGCCCCTCCACCCTGTGGCCTGAAAGTGAGGCACATACCAGCCCTTCCTTGGACTCGCACCTGGGTCCTGCCCGACCAAGCCTGGACTTCCCTGCATCAGCCTTTGGCTTCTCCTCATTGCAGCCAGCTCCTCCACAGCTGCCCTCTCCAGCGGAACCCCGCTCGGCACCCTGTGGGTCCCTTGCCTTCTCTGGTGACCGAGCTTTGGCTCTGGCTCCAGGGCCCCCCACCAGAGCCCGGCATGATGAGTACCTAGAAGTAACCAAGGCCCCCAGCCTGGACTCTTCACTGCCCCAGCTCCCATCACCCAGCTCTCCTGGGGCCCCTCTCTCCAGTCTTCCGCGACCTGCCTCACCAGCCCTATCTGAAGGCTCCTCTTCTGAGGCCACCACACCTGTGATTTCGAGTGTGGCTGAGCACTTCCCTCCCGGCCTGGAGGCTGCAGAACAAGGGTCTGTAGAGCTGGTCCCAGGAATGGAACCAGCTGCCCATGGCCTCTGGGACCTCACTTCTCTGAGCCCAGCACCTCCAGCTTCACTGGACCTGGCCCCAGCTCTAGCTCCAAGCCTGCCTGGAGACATGGATGAGGGTACCCTGCCCTGCCGCCTGGAGTGCTCAGGGGCAGCCACCAAGAAGCCAAGCCCCTTACAGGGCCCCTCCAGGGATAGTGCCACCAATGGCCCAACTGAAACCAGCCCCAAGCCCCCAGGCCCTGCCCCAGCTGAGGCTGAGAAAGGAAAGGCTGAGGCCTGTCCCACCTGGGAACGTGGGGCCTGGCCTGAGGGAGCCGAGAGGAGCTCCAGGCCTGACACGCTGCTCTCCCCTGAGCAGCCACTGTGCCCTGGAGGGGCCTCTGGAGACCAACCTAGAAGTGTCTCCCCTGAGATGGAGGCTGGGCCCCAGGGATGTGCTGCTGAGCCCCGGCCGCATCGTGGGGAGCTCTCCCCATCCTTCCTGAACCCACCTCTCCCTCAATCCACGGATGACAGTGACCTCTTAACTGAGGAAGCTCGGCTGGTAGGGAGAGGGGGGCGGCGTCGGGTGGGGGCTGCAGGGGCCACAGGCGGCCCCTGCCCCGTGGCAGATGAGACACCCCCAACGTCAGTCAGCGACTCGGGCTCCTCGCAGTCAGATTCTGACGTTCCACCAGAAACTGAGGAGTGTCCATCCATCACAGCTGAGGCAGCCCTCGACTCAGATGAAGATGGGGACTTCCTGCCTGTGGACAAAGCTGGTGGGTTTAGTGGGACTCACCATCCCAGGCCTGGCCATGACCCACCCCCTATCCCCCAGCCAGACCCTCGCCCATCCCCTCCCCGCCCTGACGTGTGCATGGCTGACCCCGAGGGGCTCAGCTCAGAGTCTGGAAGGGTAGAGAGGCTACGGGAGAAGGAGAAGACACAGGGGAGAGTCGGCCGCAGGGCCACAGGCAGGGCCAAGCCAGCGTCTCCTGCCCAGCGTCTGGATCTTCGGGGAAAACGCTCACCCACCCCTGGTAAAGGGACTGCAGATCGAGCATCCCGGGTGCCACCCCGACCACGTAGCACTCCAAGCCAGGTCACCCCAGCAGAGGAAAAGGATGGACACAGCCCCATGTCCAAAGGCCTAATCAATGGACTCAAGGCAGGATCAAGTAAGTATAACATGGAAAGTGGGAGAGATTGTGGTTTGGGGCTGGATGTGGCTGGTCAAGGGCTCCAGTGGAAGAGAGGGAGGGTGGGAGGGAAGAAGAAGGTTGCCAAAAGAGTTCTACTTTCCCTCTACAATGACTCCTGTGTTGTCTCTACAGCGGCCTTGGGTTCCAAGGGCAGCTCTGGCCCCCCTGTATATGTGGATCTTGCCTATATCCCGAATCATTGCAGTGGCAAGACTGCTGACCTTGACTTCTTCCGACGAGTGCGTGCATCCTACTATGTGGTCAGTGGGAATGACCCTGCCAATGGTGAGCCGAGCCGGGCTGTGCTGGACGCCCTGCTGGAGGGCAAGGCCCAGTGGGGGGAGAATCTTCAGGTGAGTGGCAAGAAGCACCAAGGAGGTAGTCTGGTCAAACTTTACTCAGAGGCAGCAATGGAACACAGTCTCTATTTATAAAAGGACTGAGAGGCACTTCCCTGGCAGTCCAGTGGTTAAGACTCTGCGCTTGCACTGCAGGGGGCACAGGTTCGATCCCTGGTCGGGGAACTGACATCCTGCATGTCGTGCAGCGCGGCCAAAAAAATAAATAAAACATAATAAAATAAAAGGACTGAGTTCTTTCTACGGGAGTGGGACTACATCCTGGACCATCAGGTGCCCCATCCCCCGACTTCACATCCTCACCTCAGGCATGTCTTGTCTCCCACCTAGGTAACTCTGATCCCTACTCACGACACGGAGGTGACTCGTGAGTGGTACCAGCAGACTCATGAGCAGCAGCAACAACTGAACGTTCTGGTCCTGGCGAGCAGCAGCACCGTGGTCATGCAGGATGAGTCCTTCCCAGCCTGCAAGATTGAGTTCTGAAAGAACCACTCTCCCTTCCCCAAGGATCTGCTCCCACAACCCCCTTAGAGAATGGCTACTGCTGAGTCCTTTGGGGTTGAGGGACATGGGAGTTGAGGGGGGCGAGGGGGACAGGATGTCTTGTGGGAACTTAGGCTGGGCTAAATGGGAGGGGTTGTGCCTCCCCTTCATCCATGCCTGAAAGGAGTCTCAAAACCAAAGGTAACAGGATTAGGATAGGGGGAGGGTGCAAAATTAGAATACAAGGTCATCTGGTGCCTGAGAACCCTGGAGTGACACCCTCTCTTAGCACTGCCTAATGCTGGTGTTGGGTGGGGAGTGAGGATGGATCTCAGAGAGCAACCTCCTCCCTCATGGAGGGAGATCATATCCCCAACCCCAAGGACGTCTTTATCTTAATCTATGTATTTAGCATCCCAAGGAAGGATTTCCAATAGTAATTTATGTGACCTGGGGGCAGGATACTGTCGGTGAGGTTGACAGAGCTGCATCCTTTCCTCCATCCCCCATTCCCTTCCCCACCAGAGTCTGGGTCCCAGCAGGGGTCTGGGGGTATGCTGCTGCTACACTGTCCCACTGCTTCCCTCTGTATCTGAATGTTTCAATCCAAAACTTGAAGCTCTTTTGACCAACAGATTGGTGAGAGAAGAAAGGAGCTTATCCTCCCAGCCCCTGCTTCATACCATTCACATCCCAGAGCTGTGCCCAGACCAGGCCTACTGGGCAGCACAAAGGAGCAAGGAGAGCCCAGTCCCAATCGCAGACTTCTTCCAAGCTCCCTGACCTTATGAAGTTTTCACCCACCCATTCCAACTCTTCTGATCCCTTCTCATACCTGCTTGGCTTATCTGCATGTGGTCACCTGCTGTGGCCTGGTGTGTAATGGGTTAAAAAGCCACTGCCTGACATCCTAACATTTGACACTCCAGCAATGTGTGACTCCCCCAACATTCCACTATGCCATCCTGCAGCTGAAATGGGAACACTGGCTGCTTTTCCAGCCCCAAACTCTTGGACAGAGGATCGGGGAGGTGGAGGCCATGCCAGAGGACTTGGGGAAAATGAGAGGGAGGAAGGAAAGAGGGAGAGGAAGCTGAGCTAGGTCTTAACTCCTACTGAGATGAAAACAGGCCGAAAATACCACCCCAGGAGAGGACCTCACCCCAAGCAAGCCAATAAACAGCCCTGCCAGACTACTGCGGGACTGAGAAATCCAGACGCTATTCAGGGCTCAGCTTCTCTGCCAACTGACTA